TTCGATTTGATTTGAAAAAATCAAATCAAATTCAAATTGCTTAAATATTTGATTCGATTCGATTTTGAGGAACCCTAGTGAAAAGTCTTCTTCAAATGTAGGGCCTGAGGATGATGAAGAAATAAGTTTGATTTTATGGGTATTAAAGGGGGGTTGCTACGGGAACGATTAAATGAGATATATATCAAAGATTCTAGTGCTTTTATTCTGCATATCTCAACAGTTTGCTTTCGTTTTTAGTGGGAAGTCAGTACTATCAATGTATCGCAAAGATTTAGAAAATACCAAATAGAAACACTCGAAAAAGTGAAAGTTAATGGACTATAATGGTGTGATTTTCATGAAGCGTTGTAAGTATTTTTGGTCATGTAATAATTATTTTGGATAATATTATGCTAAGATTTCTATTTATGCTTGATAGGGCATTATTTTTGGTAATTGTTTTAAGCTCACCTTGCCCCTACTCAGTGATGTCCATTTCCTATGTCCCAAGCATTTGCTATCCCAGCTATATATCCCAACTATATGTCTCAACTATGTCCCATATATGTCCCAAATATCCCATCTGTCCCATCAATGTCCCATCAGTGTCCTATCAGTGTCCTAACTATGTCCCATAACAATACTGCCCCTACCCTAATCATATTTTTACTATTCGGGAATGGCAGGTGATTACACGTGAGAATCCATATGCCATATCTGATTCAATACTGCCAACAGAGGTTTTATCCTCTTTACGAAATGCATCAGCTGATTTCTTGAAAGGAAAGAATGTTTTTTTGTCCTTAAGTGATTCAGAAATTGGCCGAGTGGATTCTCGAATCTTTAATGATATGTAAGCTTTCATCTTATAACATGCATAAATTAAGATCACAGCTTTTCGACTTTGTTTTCATGTAACTCTTTTTATGTATAATAGGTGTAGTAGTGTTCCTGATGTTTCCCCAACTAAAATATCGGAGGATGAGCACTCATTCAAGTTGCTACATCCCGATCATTCGTCCATTATTTTTTACTAGTTCATACAAAGAGTATAATATCTTATTGAATCATGCTACAAACAGTACCGCAACAAGGCCAGATTTTTTGTGCTTGGTTAACGAAATTCCAATTTTGAATTCGGAAATTAAGCCATCCGGATTCACACCTCTTCAACAACAAAAAGATAAGTTAAAAGTACAGTTGCGAGGGCGTAAGTCCATCAATCAGTTGTTAAGAACAAATGGTAGTTTAGAAGAAACGGTATTGTTAACTAATCAAGGTATATATAAATCAGGATTTCACTTTAATTAATTAAGTATATTACATTATATCAAGAGATTTAGTCGAATCGTATGTTATGGACCTTAAATACGATGGACTTTACCGGTTATGGCCTTTTTCAACCACCCGACTGGTCAAAGATAGAATCACAATTCCTTTGCTGGAGTCAACATTCAGCATTTTGTGGCACTAGAGATACATATATACTTTATGTTTCATTTTTGAGTTTGCAATGAAATAATTAATGACATCTTTTTTTATATGTTGCATTGTTAGGAACGTATCAGTAAAATTGCTGAGAACCACAATTGTCGAACTTGTCAAAGTGGCACAATTACTTCACTATTGCAAATACAGTATATGCAAGACTTACCAGATAGTCCGCAAAGAAAAAAGTTACTTAATTTTTCAAAATGTGGTTAGGTTAAAATTGCAAGTTTATTGTTTCAAAAGTGAGGTTTATTTGGTTTATTTTAGCATTTTAACATGTAATCTTTATGCACAATCACTATGTAATAATCAAAAAAAAAAAAATAGTAAATACTATACCTTACTGCTTTTACTCCAATTTTTGGATATCCTGTATGATTATAATATATTACACAAATTTTATCAAAATAAATATATTCATCCATAACACATGTACTGTATAATATCGCAAAACATTTAGAGTTTGAGTTTATTCAATAATACCCAATTCTCGAAGATGCTCAGGAATAGCTACATATGGGTCTTCGTAATACCAAACATACCTCAAAGCAATCTGATTCTCTTCGCATAATTCTTTCTTGAGTTGATCTCATTCCTTCTGTTTGATAAAGTTATTGGGATCCCCTCTATGAAAGAACTTATTAAATTTTTCATGTTGCTTCCCTTGGACTTCAATGGCAAAACCATAATCATAATATGGAATATCAAGTTCTAATCCTTGATAATATTTGAGTGTTTTTAAGAAATCAGATCGGCATATTTTAGATGGTGGTCCAAGATATTTTGATACTATTTCTCGACATAGTTGTTCTCTTTTATATTTCAAGCAGAATGGATACCACAAGTTTGAATGTTTAACATTGTTAAATGATGTAGTCTATAAATGTCCTTTGGCACATTTTCATAATAAAGCTGAACGACTATTAGTAAAATATTTAGAAAAGCATGTTCCATTTCTATTACATGCCAATTGCTTTGTATTTTCAATAGTAAGAGGTATATTACCTGCGCAATGTGAGCACCATTTCTTACCATTTTTGATACTATGAAAGTTGCATGACCTTTTATACACTGCCATTATATTGGAGTATTGACATTAATGTATTCAGTAGAAATACATAACCCATTTTTGCTACAAGCTAGTTGCTTTGCATTTTCAATAGTAAGATGTCTATTAACTGCGCAATGTGAGCACCATCTCTTATGATTTTTTATAAGAGTTGCAGTCCATTCATAACTGTTTGCACATTTTCATCGCATTGGAATACTAGCATTAATATATTCAGTAAAAACACATGTTCCATCACGTTCTTTAGCAATTGCAAAAGCATTATCCAATGCCAACCTTTTCATTGATTCTTCAATAAAAAAAATCAAAACTTTAATTATCAGATAATGAAGTTCAAATGAACAATAGCGCCTGTAATCATGAAGAAAGAATAATCGCTAAGTTATAAATGAGCTTAAAGTATTCTGCTAACATCTGCTTGATTATAATAAAAGAACTTTTGAAAAATTCATGCAAGACATAGAAAGGGAATATAGAGAGTGGATTAATATGAATAAGAAATTGTGATGTGAAAATTAGGATCTAAAGATGCAGTTACTGGAGGTAGGAAACGAACTGACATCTATAAAGTCAAATTCTTCTCATTAGTTGGAAATACTTTTTTCCTTGTATTTTTGCAAAGTAATATCCTGGCCAAGATCATGCACTTTTTGAGGATTTATATAAATCAAAGGTTCTCCCATTTTCTTTTATAATCACGAAAAAAAATATCATTTTGCAGATCTCACCTAAGGCAGAAAAGAACATGTGAAGAACATAAAGCTGAGCTGAAAAAGGAAAATCATCATCTTCGTAATGAATTGCAATCAGAAGTTGATATTAACTGCCAGAATGAAAGACAAATTAATCAACTAGAACAGGATTATTTCTGGTATAAGCAAGAAATTCATTATCTTAATAGAGAGATAGAGCGCTTTGAAAATGCTTTGAAAGAAGAAATAGTAGAGTTGAAATCTGAAATCTCTAGCCTAAAAAAGCAACTATATCAAGCTAAAAAGAATGTACAAGATAAGGAAAAGTTTATCTCTAGTTTAGAAAAGTAGTTAGTAGAATCTGAGGAATAAGTTGAGAAATTGTGATGCTGAATCAAAAGCATCTCATCACAAAAAAATTTGCCTGAATAAGAAAATTCTCCAGACTTGTATAATTTCAATAATAATATGGCCACAATCATAGAGCTAGCAAATATTATAGATGGTTATGTAGATAATAGAGCAACAACTAGGAATATTCTTATAGATCAAATAAAAAGAACTACAAGGTAAATTCGCTAAGAAGAGAATAATTTGCAACAGGATATATTTCAAAAGCAACTGAGGTGCTATAATGCAGAAGCTGAACGTGATATTAAAATTATATGAAGGCAACTTGCTGAAAGGGTAGAACAAGAGGCTATTGTTGGCCTTCATCAGTTATAAACTAATACTCAGCAATATCAAACTCAAAACTAAGTAAATAGAATAATAGGTAATATAGCAAGAAAACAAACTGTATAGGTGTGCTAATACAATAAAAATTTGCCTTATAATTATTATATCAGTGAAATGCTTACCATCTATCCCATAGATTGTAGAGTTTCGCAGGCAAATTTGCCTGCTTATTTACTATAAATTCTCTTCTGATTTACTTTTATAAATAATTAAAATTTTTTTTTTTAAAT